GACGAGCATTCGAACGGATAAAAAGAACTTTCGTTGAAAAATAAATACCGCCACAGCGATTTCAACACGGGAAAATTTAGAGTTGAAGCAGTTTTTCACAGCAAAGGATTGAAAAGTTTATCGACAGGAAAAAAAGAAAAAACTGTAAGTTAGACATTAACTTATTTATTCTATTGGAATCTATAATAACCAATGTTTTGTGCTAAAAAAAAAAAAATTTTTTGTCGTGCCAGAGAATTTGATTAATTTATTGGCCCCCCTCAGAGAAAAAAAACACACATAATTTCGCTTTCTTTTTTCTCTACACATACATAATCATGGAGCAATTTCAATCATCTATGCTGGAACTCATTAAGTATCAGATGCAAAGACAACAAGAGAGTGAAGAACGTTTTCAGAAAGAAAAACTTAAATTTCAGAAAGAACAAAAGGAAGAAAAGGAAAGGTTAATTGAAGAAAATGCAAAACGATTTCTGGAGCTACACGAAAAACAAAATAATATACAAGAAGAAAATGAAAAGAAACAGTTAGCAATGACTGAACTTATACATAAAGCTATACTGTGTAAGCAGAAAGACTCGGATGAAAGTACTTTTTCTCAAGACACAATATGGTCGACGATCGAAAGTTTTACTTATAACCCAGAAGAGGAAAAAAAAAAAAAAAGATATTATCATAGATATCAGGACTTTTATGATGTCGATTGCCAAACATGGCCAGATGAGAAAAAGATAAGATTGTTACTACGGAAACTGGGAACGACAGAACATAATAAATTTACGGACTTTATATTACCCAAAAAGACAAGAGACTTAAAATTCGACGAAGCGATTGAATTACTAAAAGAGCTCTTCAACCCCAGATTATCATTATTTCACAAAACGTGGAAATGTCTTAATATTCAAAAAAGCGAGCAGGAAGACTACACCACTTTCGCGTCAATCGTAAATAAGACGTGTGACGATTTTCGCTTGTCCGAATTATCGGCGGACAATTTCAAGTGTCTAATATTCGTGCTAGGCTTAGTGTCTAAAAAAGATAGCGAAATGAGAAGACGCATTTTAGCAAAGCTAGAAAATGAGCAAACACGACACTACAAAAGCTAGCCGAGTACTGTCAGCAATGCGTAAGCATTAAGCAAGATTCAGAGAAAATAGAAGAAACTGCTATCGCAAATGTGAAGAAAGTAAATAGGAAGACTCGTTTCCATTCTCCATCGCCTGAACGGAAGTGGTATCCTACCACAAGAATGAACAGAGGCTATAGAAAAAAACTCCCTCCGAGTGCATGTTACGGATGCGGCCAGTGGCACTGGTACAATGACTGCCCATATAAAAATAAAGCTTGCAGAAATTGCAAGAAAGTAGGACATAAGATGTCCAAGTGTAGAAAATTAAGCAGAAGTCGAGTAAAAGTTACTAAGTCAGATGAAGATCAAGACCTGAATATTCGAAAATACCTACATGTAAAAATGTACAACAAGAAGGTTAAAATGCAACTGGATTCAGGATCTGACATTTCGATTATTAACACACAAACATGGGAAAATCTAGGAAAGCCAACTCTGCTAAAGTCCAACAAAATAGCCAGGACGGTAACTGGAAAAAAGATCAAATTTGAAGGTGAAATGTGGGTGAATATAACCTTCAACAACAAGACTATAAAAATGAAAATTTTGTAATGAAAAACACGAACAACCTGTTTGGGACTGACGCAATCACTAAGTTCAATCTATGGGACGTGCCCATTAGTTCTTTTTGTAACAACATTAGTGAAAGCAAAGACAACATAAAAAATTTACAAACAGAATTGAAAATAGCATTCCCCGAAGTTTTCGCTAAAGGACTTGGACGTTGCACGGAAGCATCAGCAAAAATACAGCTGAAGAAAAATATTCAACCAATTTTTTAAAAAAAGCGTAGCATCCCTTTTGCCGCATTAGAAAAAATTGACCAAGAACTCGAAAGACTAACGAGAATTGGTGTGATCTCGAAAACGGAATACAGTGACTGGACAGTTCCGGCTGTCTACGTAAAGAAAAAATCTGGCGAAATTTGCGTCTGCGCCGATTTTTCAACCGGGTTAAACGACGCAATAGAAAAGTTTCACTATCCACTACCAAGTCCCGAAGAAGTGTTCGCAAAGTTAAATGGTGGAAAAATCTTTTCGAAAATAGACCTTAGCGAGGCATACTTGCAAGTACCCATGGATAACGAAAGCGCAAAGTTGTTATGCATTAACAAGCATAAAGGCTTGTTCAGATACGAACGTTTACCGTTCGGGGTGAAGACAGCACCCGCAATATTCCAGCAAATAATGGATACTATGTTATCCGGTTTAGACTACACGATAGCATATCTCGACGATATACTCGTGAAAAGTGAATTGGTGGATGAACACAAACACCATTTACGCAAAGTTTTCGAACGGATAAGAAGCTATGGGTTTAGAGTGAAAGAAAACAAATGCGATTTTCTCCTGGAAGAGATCAAGTATCTGGGACATATAGTAAATAAAGAAGGGAAAAAGCCAGATAAAAATCGAGCATCAGCAATAAAAGATATGCCGGAGCCAAAGGATATTAAATCCCTACAAAGTTTTTTAGGCTTGGTGTCATATTACCAGGATTTTATCCCAGACCTCCACATTCTACGAGCTCCTCTTAACGATCTACTAAAAAAAGAAAAACTTTGGATATGGACAAAAGAATGCGAGCAAGCATTTAAGGATATAAAAGAAAAGTTGACATCAGATTTATTTCTGGTACATTTTCCAAAAGTAGTTATCATCGTGGCGAGCGATGCGAGTACACATGGCGTAGGTCCGTGCATATTGCACAGGTGGAAGGATGGTAAAGTTCGACCGATCGCTCATGCAAGCAGATCGCTACTACCTGCTGAGCGAAACTATTCACAAATCGAAAAAGAGGCATTGGCGATTATCTTCGCTGTAACAAAGTTCCATAGATACATACATGGACGGTATTTTATGCTGCAGACAGACCACAAGCCTCTGGTAACGATATTCGGTTTGAAGAAGGGTCTGCAAACATACACCGCAAATAGATTGCTTAGGTGGGGAACAATTTTGCTAAATTATAACTTTAAAATACAATATTTGTCCACCCACAAAATTGGTCCCGCAGACGGTCTATCAAGACTCATTCTGAAAGCAACAGAACCATTAGAGGATACGATAATCGCATCCCTCAGAGCAGAGGACGAGGTTGAAGAAAATTTGGCGAACGCAATTCGAGAATTACTAGTATCGCTTAAGGACATCAAAAAAGAGGCAGAAAAGGACAAATATATTATGGAAATAAAAGACAAACTAGCTAAAAAAGACGAAAAAATTCAAGGGACATTTTCTATGTGTGATAATGTGCTAATATATAGTGAAAGGGTAGTAATCCCTAGTACACTCCAAAAAAGAATATTGAAAGATTTTCATGCTAGTCACCCGGGCATAAATAGAATGAAGAGCCTCATGAGAGCATACGTCTACTGGCCAGGTATGGACAACGACATCGCGTCTATGGTCGGCAGATGTAAAGGCTGCATTTTGGCATCAAAATCACCACAAATTCTACAGAAGCCATGGCCAAAAACCGACAGGCCATGGTCAAGGATTCATATTGATTTTGCGGGTCCAATTGACGGGTGGCATTATTTAGTCGTAGTTGACAGCTATAGTAAATGGCCCGAAGTTTTCCAAATGAAGAGGCCAACATCACAAAATACGATAAATAAATTGCATGAATTATTTGCAAGGTTTGGAGTGGTAGATACTGTGGTTAGTGACAACGGTACTCAATTCACGAGCAAAGAATTCGCAGAATTCTGCCAGAATTTTCAAGTGGATCACGTGAGGATTCTTCCGTATCGCCCACGCAGCAACAGACTAGCCGAAAAGTTTGTCGATACGCTAAAAAGGGCTCTTAGAAAAGCAACGGGTACCCCGACTAGGAAGGCGTTACAGCTATTCCTGCAAGTATACCGCATTACTCCGAATAAATCTGCCCCATCAAGCCTGCAAGATCTGCATTTGATAAATTGATACCTAAAAATAAGATACAAACACCAGTCGCAATGGTTCCTAAGCGAAAATTCCACACAAATGAAAAAGTTTTTTCAAAGAATTATAAAAATAATACGACATCGTGGGAACCAGGAGTCATACAAAAAGCGGATTGGGAATATGGTGTACATTGTAAAAGGGAAAAAATTTACCCATAAAAGACACATCAACCAGCTAAAGAAAAGGAGTACTGAAGAATCGGAAGAAACTCCGCAAAAGAAGACGAATTATACGAATTATATGATACTTTTTGATTTACAAGTACCACAGACAGAGCAAAAACACCGCAGATCTGGTAGAAAGCAAAAAATTTACGCAACAATTTATGATGGACCTTCAAAAGGAAAAAATATTGAAAAAAATTTTTTTTTCTTCACAATAAAAAAAACAATTTCAGGGGGGTGTTGGGGCGCACCCACCTTCTCATCAGAATGGACTGATCTCTCTACTACTAATAGGACAGTTCTATAGAGTTCTGGGAAGATCAGGTGACCATCAAACTTCCGTCTCTCTACCGGAAGAGACAGTTGGACTTTATACTCTTTCTGATTGTTACTGACTAACCTGCGTTCGTTTGACTACTAATCTCTCTGTTGTAAATACCTCTTCAGATATACCAGTATTTTCCCTACGTATGTGTTTGTCCTTATTTCAATACATGCACGCGGAAACACTCAACATCTCAACCGATACAGAGATGCTAAATCTGATGTATCCAAAAGTATAACCTTGCTGACCTTATTCAGTTTTCTACCACTTTTGTTTTTGTTGCCATTGTTTTTAAATATCCCACATTGTATTAGCAATAGTCTTGCTTGGAAAGGAGATATGTTTTATGATGATTCTGGATGTAAATTTACCATGAAAAATCAGTGTATGATAATACCATTAAATTGTTTACAGGAAGTTCTATAGATTCTTACCATTTTGACAGTTTTTGCCACCAAAGCCACCAGCACATAAACAATGGTAATCATTACGAAGGTTAACACAGCTTCCACCATTAAGGCATGGTTTGCTCGCACACTCATCAACATCTTTCTCACATAGGTTACCTGAAAGGAAGACATTTCATCATATTAGCTATAAGATAGATATTTCTATTAAATTCCAAAGACAAGGATTTTTATGAATATGGCACGTGAAAAAAAATAAGAAAAGACTCAGATTTGATTCAATGTGAAAGGATTAATTAGATGTCATCACTATCTTTTTAATCACATTAACTAACAATTGTGAATTATCTGACTTGTTTTTTTTTTTAAATCATTTAATCCCAAGCAAGACAATAAAGCCAACTAAGATACAAGAGGTTACTGATTGTGAGAGAATAATAGAAAAAATTATTATGGAGAGAGAACAATAAAAGAACATGAATTAAAAAGACAGAAAATAATGACTGATATTGTATTTAAATTTTTGAAGATCAAAGTTGACTGGAAAGCAAGAAGCCAAAAGAGAGTTTCACAAGCAAAAGTGTGAGAGAAGAAACTGTTTGTATAAAACTTATGCATATATATTGTTATATATGAAACAAAAACAAAGATTTTGTTTCACCTCCCAAAAATGGTCAACCAGAATATTCTAGAAGATAATGCTTTTAAGGTAAGCAGTTTTAGTAATTATATTTGAACTCTGACACCTGACACTTATCCCTGAATATGTTGGGTAAATTTCATCCTTTCATAACTGCATTTAAATGATTAATACAAAATTGTTCAAATGAACAGCTTTATGCAACTTACATATCAAACTGTAATTCTTTTCAGTGATTAAACACTGAAGCATAGTACTAGTTAACTAGTATTTTAGGTTCAATTGGTTAATGTTTTCTTTGTGGAAGATTCTTCAGTGTTGCTATGCCAAAATGAAATAATTATTTACTTAATATGGGCTACTTTGCAACAGGATTCTACATTTCATGAACTTAAAATGGGTTACAAATTAGTGATAGGTGCTAGCCTGATCTCTACACTTACCAATGTATCCTTCAGGACAACTGCAAGTGAAAGTATTCAACACTTGTTTACAGGTTCCACCATTCATACAAGGCAAAGATATACACTGGTCAATCAAAACACTGCAGTTGGCTCCTGAAAGATAGAAGTAAAAGGAAATGGGAGAGAAAGGAAGTAATATTGCAAGTGTTTACAGACACAAAGGATTATCAGCATATAGTATCATATTGGAGTTAATCAAAGCATTTTAAAGTTTATCCTTTTTTCTATATTACTTGATCTTCAATCAAAACAATAAACTATTGTAATATTCTTGCATTGCATTTTATACTAAAACTACTGTTATTATGATAAACAATATGAAAATTTTCATTTTAAACCAACCTGAGTGATAAGGAAGTAGTAACAATAAAAAGCTTTTGCATTCATTATCAGTTTAAAAGGGATGGTTAATATATAACAATTCACAAAGAACAAGACAATTGCTATAGCAACCACAATGGAAAATCATTTTTTTAATCAGTATTTTAAAGAGTTAGCCCCAAGAATTTGTTAAAAAAGATGGTGAAAAAATGCCCTAAACTTGATAAAAACAAAGTTTTATTTTCAAAATGTTTGTTATTATTAAGAGGAAAGACTGAAGTATTTTTTTATTATTTTATTAAATTTTTTAATATTTGCTAGAATTGTTTTAATTTTTGTTAATTTTAAGTTTGTATGAGTACAAATGTGCCAATTTTTGTAGATATGGGCATTATCAGAAAATAAGAGCGATAACTATAGTAAATTTAAAGTCAAAATTTCTAAAATTCAATAAAATATTAGATCACAGAGAACATTTTCATAATTTTTCAAGATTACAGAGTACTTAAAAGTTATATATAAAAGACACTCATGTTATATTCAATTATTTTTTATGGCTAAAGTCCTCATAGATAAATACAACATTAGATAACTAACCATCTGTCAACAGGCTGTCAAACATGTCAACAGCTTAAATAAATATCTACTGTTGGGTTAAAAAAATGCGTTTCTGCAATATTTTAAAATTAAAGTAAATAATATTTGATTCAAATCAGATTAATTAAACATTAAATCAATTAATATTCCTTAAATAAAGTTTCAAAAAAGTATATTTTATTTTTGGAAGATTTTTTAATAAAGAGAATGACATTGTAGTGAAAGATGACTAAAAAAGTGCACTAATCACCTATTTTAGCAAAAAACAATAAAATTGCTTCCAGTCAATTTAAATTAGTTTTTGAAAAGTATTTTGTTTATTGAAAATATTGAATTTAATCTTGGAATTAAAACTAAAATAAAAAGCTTCAAGAAAGATTTTTTATTTTTAAAAATTCATTTAAAACTTAAGTATCAGATTTTCTGTAGTGGTAACTAATTTTGAATCTGTCATCTATTCTTGCCTTTACCTTAAAATTATGAAAGTATATATAAAACTGTTAATGCATTTCATTGACAAAATCTATTACAAAAAGAGTTGCATGTTTATTTTATAGAAGAAATAAAAGATTAAGAATATTCAAATATTCAATAATTTCAACATTTTTTAAATCCAGCACACAGAAGTGTAAACATACTAATCAGTATTTTCCAATTACTGATGCTAACTGTAGATGGATATATTATAATGGCAGACAAAATTTCTTCACTATTACTGATCTTATTTTTGTTATTTATCTATTACCATTGTTATACTCTGCTTCAAATTAGATCTCTTTCTGATTCAACAAATGCTGAGCCATGTATCCACCTTGACTGCTTAAAAGGGCCTGCACATGACACTAAAGAATTAGGCAGGCAGTCATCAGTGGCCTCAGATCAACCAACCTGACAAAAGCTTCAAAACTGGTCCCTGCTGACTCCCCCATCTTCCAGCTACACCCATATAGAGACATTTCACTTTGATCTCTTATACTGGCAATACAGAGAATTTCATTTTAATATATTTTGTCTCCTTTTCTTTCTGCCTCATTGGCAATACTCTGTTGTTTTCTTTGCAACTATATACAGTATATAATATTGTCCTGAAATACTAACTGAATATATGGTGCATATATATATATATATAACTAAAGAATGCTACATTATTTTCCAAAATAAATAAGCAAATGCAAGATGTTGGGTGTAATAGAAAGGGAAGAGGAGGACGTAAAGAAGAAGGGGAAAGAGAAGAAAAGCAAGTGTATTGGTGGTGGTGGGGTTAAATTACTTATCTTATCCACTTAAGAAAAATTTTCTGATGTGTAAGCAAGGACTTAAGACTTTGGATTTCTGGTTTAAAAGGCTTTTGGGATTCAGAAATGTCATAATCACTAATTTTTCCTGTTGGCAAAGATTTCAAATATTGTTGTGATTGTTGTACAGTTTTGCCTTTTTAAAAATTTTCCACCTTACAAATAGATCCCTGTTGTATTTTTCTTTTAAATTCCACACATGGTTAGCTAGTTTGGTAGAGTACCTAACATTTGCTAGCTTAAATGATGACCTGTGGTTGTATCATCTATGTTTAAAAGTACCTTCTGTACACCTTATGTACATTTTATTTTAGCCATTAATATCTGTTACTACTCCTTTATAAATTATAGCTTCTGTTTTATAAGCTCCATTTAATGGACATCTATTTTTATTTCTGCAGCTGCATAAATTACTAGTGTTGTTTTGCTGCATGTCAGTTTCGAGATTTCTGGCATTTTCTCTATTTATTATTGTTTCTATATTACTAGTGCAACTGTAACTTAATTTAACTGTGTTTTTATTGAATATCTTATCCAATTCTGATTATTTTGGGAAGTGTTTAGTAAGCGACTTGTAAAACTTTTTTTTAGTTGCTTACTAAACGTACTGCAGAAATAAGAATAGATGTCCATTAAATGCAACTTGTAAAATAGAACCTATAATTTGTAAAACAAAAGTAACAGATATTAATGGCCAAAATAAAATGTACATAAGATATACAGAAGTTACTTTTAAATGAAAATGGTACAACCATAGGTCATCATTTAAGCTAATAAATCTTAGGTACTCAATGAAACATTTAATTAGGTAACTTTCTACACCCACATAGAGACATTTCACTTTGATCTCTTATACCGGCAATACAGATAATTTCATTTTAATATATTTTGTCTCCTTTTCTTTCCACCTCATTGGCAATACTCTGTTGTAGCTCACCATGTGTGTAATTTAAAAGAAAAAAAACAACAGGGATTTATTTGTAAGGTGGAAATTTTTTAAAAAGGCAAAAACGTACAACAATCACAATATTTGAAATCTCTGCCAACAGGAAAAATTAGTGATTATGACACTTCTGGATCCAAAAAACCCTTTAAACCAGAAATCCAAAGTCTTAAGTCCTTGCTTACACATCAGAAAAATTTTCTTAAGTACATATGAGGCTGGATAAAAAAAGTAATTTAACCCCACCACTAATACATTTGCAATCTCTTTTCGTCTCTTTCCCCTTCTTCTTCTTCCTTCTTCACAACCTCCCTTTCTATTACACCCAACGTCATGTGTTTTGTTTATTTGTTTTTGAAAATAATAATGTAGTGTTCTTTAGTTTTTTTTAAAAAAATAAAAAAGTGTTAGGTGGTCATCTGAGTAAAATCACCTGAGGATACTATAAGTTTGAAACCAAGGTAGTGAATTCAACTGATCTCCTGATTTTTAAAGTTAAAAGCTCGACATGTTATTTTTACTTTTGCTCGTGTATTGATCACTTTTTAATACTACTGTTTCCTGGCCTGACACAACTCTGACCATTAACCTTTTATGTGTTATATATATATATATCTGAAAGACAATATTAATAAATTAAACTATCAAAACAGGAAAACATTTTCATAATATAATTTGTTTCTTCAGAAACTTCAAAAGCAAATAACATTATTATATCTTCATTAGCTGAATTGTATGAGACCATTTTAAGAATTCCAAAATGGAAAAAGTTACACACATGGGATGAATTAAAAGATTGATACAAGAAAAAACAAAACAGAAGAGGAAAAAATGTAAGGGAAAAATACTAAGCAATGAACAAAGAAAATAAAAAGTAGTTAACTCTTTGAGAAACCAATATCTCTGAAAAATTGGGAACAAAATTACTGAAGCCATGCGGTATAGACAATGTGTTAGAATGTGAAGAAGAGCAAAAAATCACAGTAACATCATACAATCAAAATCACCACAGAAGAAATGTCCTGGTCTCCACCACTTTGAATCACATTTCAACCCTGACCACACTAAACTAAAGCATATATCAATATACATTCAATCATTACAAAGTCCATCTCCAAACATAAAAGATAATGAACTTAGATGAGAAAATTGATAAAGCTATTAAAAACCTAAGGAGTAACAATGCATCAGTCAGCGCTGAAGCTGTAATTTTGAAAATAGCTTATTTTGCCCCAAATTCAATAACAAGTTTCCCAATTTTGTGAAAGAAGTTTGGAATCAGAAATGCATCCCTAAAAAGTGGGGTTTATCACACATTAATGCACTATGGAAATAAAAAGGGAGCCTTCAAGATCCTTACACATACAGAGGTGTCTCAATTGGATCCATTATGGTGAAAATATTAATGAACATTTTATTAACTATATAAACATTTTTTTATGAAAGTCAGCTCCTCATGACCCAAGAAATTGCATACCATTCCAATAGAAAATTGTATACCTGTTGACCTCTTCCAAGTTCTAAATCCACTGAATACATCAATCGAATAGAGGAACTTTATTAGTTCCCAAAATGTTACATATCTTGCGAGGACCATAATCAGAAGTACAAGAAGAAAATTTAATTAATCTTCTAGACTATGCCCTGCACATATACAAGCACTAATGTGAAGAGATGAGTACTGAGCATGTAAGCATTCTATACTACATTCCAAACAAATCTACTAATAGAAGACAATGATCCTGCTTTCCCTCCTGAGGCCAATATACTGATGATGACGGGGTCTATGCCGATGACATATGTATTCATAGTTGAACAGAAAATCAACATCCTCTATCAAATGTTCCAAAAATTAGACTCAAAATAAACTTTTCCTAAAGAGAAACAATGATCTGGAATTGGAATGAAAGTGGTGATGACACTTACTTTGAATCAAT